CGGTGCTGCTATCGCACTAAATTCAGGTATAAAATGTCTGTAGTATCCTACTACTCCAATGAAGGCTCTAATTTGTTTTTTGGTGGTGGATCTGGGCCACTCTTGGATTACCTGTACCTTGCCCCAATCGGCTCTGATTTTGCCACCTCCTAGCACATGCCCTAAATACTTTACCTGGGTCATGGCTAGTTGACACTTCGACGCTTTCACCGTCAGACCACTTTCTTTTATTCGTTGGAACACTACTGCCAGGTGGTGCAAGTGTTCTTTCCAGGTGTGGCTGAAAATTGCTATATCATCAATGTAAGCGAGTGCAAACTCAGACAGCCCCGTTAACATTTTATCAATCAACCTTTGGAAGGTTGATGGTGCATTCCTTAAACCAAAAGCTAGGACTGTAAACTCAAATAGCCCCTCCCGGGTAACAAAGGCTGTTTTTAGTTGGTCTTTGGGGCACATGGCCACTTGCCAATAACCTTTTGTTAAATCCAAAGTTGAAATAAAATTGGCAGCCCCAATTGTTTCAACCAACTCATCCACTCTTGGCATAGGATACACATCTGGAATGGTTAGTTTATTTAACCTTCTATAATCCACACAAAATCTCATGGTTCCATCTGGTTTTGGGACCAGCACTACAGGCGAGGCCCAAGGACTTTCAGAAGGTACAATTAGTCCAAGGTTCAACATTTCCTCCACCTCCTTCCTTATACATGTGGCATACCTTTGAAAGGTCTTCAGTAAACGCATTCTGTACGATCTGTGACTGCACAGGCCCTGGGCAAATGTTGATCACACTTATTTCGGGATACTTAGTAAGTTCAGGCCGGAGAGAGTTGAAGAAACCCTAAGAGACAATGAGGGTGTTAACCAATAACATCTGTACACTGTACACTGCTGTTTCTTCTCCAAGGCCAAACAAAAATAAGTCTCTCAGTAGCTAGGAGGCACACCCATTAACACTTCAGGGAATATCCCATAAATGTTAAGGCTTACTTGTGGGAAAAGCCTAACGATTCAATTTTATCCCAACCTTCCCTCCAGCCCAAGCTCGTCAGAATTTGGAAGCTAAGCAGCGTTGGCCATAGTCAATACTTGGATGGGAGACCACCAGGGAAGACCAGAGTTGGTACGCAGAGGAAAGCAATGGCAAACCACCTCTGCTCATCTCTTGCCTTGATCATCCTGTGGATGGGGTCACCGGGAGTCAGCTCTGACCGGACAGTGCATTACCCAGTTTTCCCTCGAGGGACTTGGGTCAGTATACACAGTTCTTCCCTTCATTTTATCCTCAGAACAACCCAGGGTGAACACAAGAAGCTGCCTTATACTGGCTCAGTCAGTCAGTCCATCAAGGTCAGTATTGTCTTTTCAGACTAGCAGTGGCTCTTTAGAGTTTCAGCAGTGGTCCTTCAAACCAGTATTACAGGAGAAAATTCCATCCCGGCTGCCCGGCTGTGAATGATTATAATAGGATTGGGTAACACACACACAATTTTTTAAAAGGTGTTCAAAAGTTGGAACTATTGGAAGGGGAAGGACTTGCCTGTGGCACCACTGGATCTAGGGCTGGTCCTGCATACATGCAGCTGGGATGAATCTGAATTAGCGTTACAGAGTGCTCAGGGGTAAAATCTGTAGGAGTCGCCTTGTGTCCTCAGAACAAGATGCTGCAGGGACTGATGGGAAAATAAAATGACAAAAAACAAAAACAAATGGCAGGCAGTTCAATGGTTTATGGTACTTAAACCCTGTCTTGAGTCACTAAAGTGTGTGCAGATTTGGTAAATGTGGCTATCTGCTCTGCATATCAGATGAAAGAAATGAGTTGTACTCCATGCATACTGCCAAGGGTCCTTGCCCCAGCCAAAATTACTCAGCTCATAGCACCACACGCCTGTGACTAGTAAGCACAGGGATCTTGCAGGTTTCACCAGGATATCACTTACCATCTGCTGACCTTTTTTTCTGTACATAGCTGGATCTTGTGCTGTCATTCCAGTAATTCACAATGTGGGGAGGGGCTTGCCAATGTGGGTCAGTGGTTGAGCATCTGCTTTGCATGCAGGAAGTCACAATGTGAATCCCTGACATCTCTAGTTGAAAGAACTGAGTAGTAGGTGATGTGACAGACCTCTCTCTGAAACCTTGGAGAGTGACTGCCAGTCTGAGTAGGCATGGCAATATTGACCTTGATGGACCAAGGGTCTGATTCAGTATAAGGCAGCTTCATGTGGCCATCACTTATTCCTGTGGCCATCACTACATCCTCTGGCAGCAAATTCCACATTTTAATCACACTCCGTGTAAAGAAATATTTCCCCTTGTCTGTCCTGAATCTACTGCCCATCAGGTTCATTGGATGCAAGTTTTCAACCTGAAAAATAGTTCCATGGAAATGCTATTTGTCACATTGGGGTAAATATTCAGTTCCCTATATCTGATGAAGGGAGCTTCGCGTCTTGAAAGCTTATTACCCCCCCCAAAAAAAAAAACCTTGCTCATTTCTAAGGTGTTACTGGACTCATATCTAGGTCCCCATACATCTACTGATCCAGACCTACTCTAGTGGGTATCCCTTAGCAGAACAGGGCCAATTTTAAGAACAGCAAATTCTTGGTTGGGGGGGGAGAGATTTTGAATGGGAAAGGAGTGGTTAGTCATTTTGTCACTATTTCTGCCATTTCTCTACTCCAGTTAGCACTTTATGCATCTTCCCCGCACACACACTTTAAACTGCAGGGAGAAAAAAAAAATTAAGGGAGAACTGGCAAGTGAGGAAATGGTTGTGGTGCCTTCATTGCTAATGGGAAAACGCAGCACCTCAGGTAGGCTGTGGAGGCACTTTTTACACACACACACAAATGTTTTTTTCTTTGCAAAGCCCTCTCTCCTTCCTGATGCAGGCTGTGGAGGCACAGTTTACACACACAAAAAGAAACTTTTTTTTCTTTGCAAACCCCCCCCCCCCCGGAGGCACATTTTAAACACACACTTTTTTTTCCTTTACCTCTTAGCGAGGGCCTGGAAAAGCAAGAAGGGAGATTGTGAGGCGGGGCCTGGAAAGGCAGTGAGGGGAGCCCCAGAACTTATCTTTCTTCTTCTTTCTCTGGAGTACGACTGAGAGGAGCGCTACTGGGAACGGGGGGGCGGGGCTTGCTACATGTCCCCACCCCCTGGCCTCCTCTCTCCCGGAACTATGTTCCGGTGAGCTCCAGCCCCAAAAGAGGCCTGGTCCTGTCTATGTACCATTTATGGCCTTGCACTATTCTTATATATGAACCATTAATGGACTTGCACTATTCATGGACCTGTACTTTGTATAATGTAAATTTATTTTACTGATATATGTGTTATTCTTATATAAACAACCTCTGTTTTGCATGACTTTTGAGTAATTGTAGTCTGCGTTATTTATACAGTGTTTGCTTGCTTTCTAAGAGATATTTCCTACTTGTATCTGATGAAGGGGTTTTTGATTCTTGAATGCTCCTACCCATGGAATCTCGTTGGTCTCTAAGGTACTACTCGGAAAACAAGATTAGTTCTCTCTCAGACGTGGTTTAATTTTCTCTCTTCTGAGAGAGGGAGATATCAATAAAACCTGAATTTTGAATGGAATTGCCCCTGTGGAAGTGGAAATGATAGGGCATGTTCTTCTATATTGTCCTTTTTATAAAGATCTTTGAGCTGAGCTGCTTTTCCCTGTTCTGTGAACATTTCTGGGAAGAACAGAAAAAAATCTTATCATACTGTCCTCTTAGCAGATAAATACCATCAGATTATGGAGAAGGTACCTAATTCTAGAGATCTCTTCAAGAAAATTGGAGAAATCAAGGGAGCGTTCCATGCAAAGCTGGCCATGATAAAGGACAAAAATGGTAGGGACCTAACAGAGGCAGAAGAGATTAGGAAAAGATGGCAAGAATACACAGAAGAACTATACAAGAAAGACCTTGATGTCCTTGACAACCACGACGGTATAATCACTGACCTCGAGCCAGACATCCTGGAATGTGAAGTTAAATGGGCCTTAGAAAACATTACTAACAACAAAGCTAGTGGAGGTGATGGTATTCCAGCTGAGCTATTCAAAGTCTTAGAAGATGATTCTGTTAAAGTGCTGCACGCAATTTGCCAGCAAATTTGGAAAACACAACAGTGGCCACAGGATTGGGAAAGGTCAGTATACATTCCAATCCCAAAGAAGGGCAATGCCAAGGAATGTTCAAACTATCACACAATTGCACTCATATCACACGCTAGCAATGTCATGCTCAAGATCCTACAAGCTAGGCTTCAACAGTACGTGGATAGAGAACTGCCAGAAGTACAAGCTGGGTTTCGAAGAGGTAGAGGAACTAGAGATCAAATTGCCAACATTCGCTGGATTATGGAGAAAGCAAGAGAGTACCAGAAAAACATCTACTTCTGCTTCATTGACTATGCTAAAGCCTTTGACTGTGTGGATCACAACAAACTATGGCAGGTCCTTAAAGAGATGGGAGTACCAGACCACCTCACATGTCTCTTGAGAAACCTGTATAAGGGTCAAGAAGCAACAGTTAGAACCGGATATGGAACAACTGATTGGTTTAGCATAGGAAAAGGAGTACGACAAGGATGTATATTGTCACCTTGCTTATTTAATATATATGCAGAGTACATCATGCGAAATGCTGGCCTGGATGAATCACAAGCGGGAATTAAGATTGCTGGGGAAAAGATCAACAACCTCAGATATGCAGACGATACCACTCTAATGGCAGAAAGTGAAGAGGACCTAAAGAGCCTCTTGCTCAGGGTAAAAGAGGAGAGCGCAAAAGTGGGCTTGAAGCTCAACATCAAAAAAACTAAGATCATGGCATCCGGCCCCATCACTCCTTGGCAAATAGAAGGGGAAGCTGTGGAAGTAGTGACAGACTTCACGTTCCTGGGATCCCAGATCACCGCAGACTGTGACTGCAGCCATGAAATTAAAAGACGCCTGCTCCTTGGGAGGAAAGCGATGGCGAACCTAAACAGCATGATAAAAAGTAGAGACATCACCCTGCCAACAAAAGTCCGCATGGTCAAAGCAATGGTATTCCCAGTAGTCATGTATGGCTGCGAGAGTTGGACTATAAGGAAGGCCGAGCGCCGAAGAATAGATTCTTTTGAACTATGGTGCTGGAGAAGACTCTTGAGAGTCCCTTGGACTGCAAGAAGATCAAATCAGTCAATCCTAAAAGAAATCAACCCTGACTGTTCCCTGGAAGGCCAGATAATGAAACTGAAGCTCAAATACTTTGGCCACCAAATGAGAAGGGAGCACTCACTGGAGAAGACCCTGATGCTGGGAAAGATTGAAGGTCAAAGAAGACGGGGACGGCAAAGGATGAGATGGTTAGACAGTGTCA